AATAGCTACCACTCATGAGGCTATAGTTGAGACATTCAATGGCTTCCGGCTGATATCATTGTAGGAAGGCTCAACTATCAGGTTAACTGGCCTGGGCTGATGCATCATAAATATCAAATCCGGCCAAGATGTGATTATATGAATAATCACATATAAGTGACAGGCTTCATTTTCGATTCCTAGCCCTATATTGTAATTCAGGTGGTTGTAAGGTAAAACGCACAAGCATTTTTATATTTTAGATTATAAGCATAGTTTCGAGATAACCAGTAAATCAGTAATATGGTATATATTCGCCCCATTGTGTTTAAGGTGATGAGCGACGTATTGCATTTTTTCCACCGATATCGGTGGGGTATACGCATCCGTTAAATCCAACGTAGCCCTGCTCTACCAAAACTTGTTCTTATCCAGTGTGGACTGCAGTTTTTACCTAGCTTATGTCTTATCAACACTCCCGGCGGGAGTCGAACCATAACAGTGCATCGTGCAGGCTTTACACGCTAACCACTCCGCCACATTGCCACAAATGCCCTTGGGTCACAGGGCAGGTGCGAATTCCAAGGAAGACCAGGCCTTTTTCCATATCACATTCTTTGGTGGGATTATCGATGAAGCAAACGTATTTTTTGCTACCGGTAAATCAGCCCGAGTCGGATTTACCGATTGAAAGAGAAGGGGTCAAGGTGAACAGCAGGTGTGAGGAGGCCACGCTAAACTTGCCAAAAAAGGGCACCTTTTGTCGAGTGGAACAAGAGGGTAAGGCATAGATAGGCTATTACAGAAAGAGGAGTGATAGTGCAACCGTTTGGACAGAACGCTTGTCGAGGGAATGACTTCACTTGTCTCGACGAGTTGTTGCTTGACGCGGAGAGTGACAAGACTCAGTGCTGATGCAGGCAAAGCGTCTGAGAATGTATCAAGTCAACGACTTGATGCTGGAAATTGTGATAACTACTATGACAGGACTTCAGAGGAAAGGGGTTCACCTAATTTACCCTGAAACAAGACCAAGTTGCGAAAGCGAGGTCAATGCATTTCTATAAATACAGAGGGCCGCACCATCTTGGCTTTCATTTATGTATTAAAGTAAAATTAAGTTTATAATCTGCACGGACCAGCGAAGATGGGGGATATGAAAGGGGTATTTTAATTAATTTAAAATCAGTTGGAGATTTAGGCTACTTTTCTGCAAGCCGTTTTTCGATTTTTCTGTCGAATTTCAATTGAGCCCCTAGCCAGGGTACTCTACACAGTAGCAGAAATTCACGAGAATATTTACATCGGTAGGACCAATACGCATTTCTTCCAGCCAACAGTTCTTTCAAAATATGAAGTCGAATCAGGTTTAAAAAACATTAAAGGATTTTTTCATATCCTAGCTCTTCATAGATGAGATAATATTTGCTTAAGCATTGTCCAAACAAAAGCATTCATTGTAGATAAATGTATACCCAGAAGGCCAATGTCTATGCGCCAGTAGATAAGCTTAAAACACCAAAGCTTCCGTATGGTGAATACAAACGCGAAATGAATGAACGCCATTAGTTCGCACTTGCAGAAAAAGAGAACAAAATGAAGCCTTAAAATTGATATACCAGCAAAAAAAATCAGTTATGGAATGCATTCGAAATAATGTTTAAAATGAATAAACGCGAAGAAATACAATAGATGGAGTCATTACCATGCCTTTTAATGAGACAGTAAAGATGATGCACAGTTTAAATTTAGTCTGCGCGCAGATCTCAAGCACAAAGTATTAGTGCGAGATCAACTAGAATATACCTAGCACGTAGTAAAGTAGTATACATGGGAAGAACTAAGATTTCTAAGCCATATGAAAAAACCAAGACGAAATCTGGAACAAGTGCTTAAGTTTTGGTTGAAGCTGGCAACCCATAGCAAGGAAATGCACAAGAATGGATAGAAATAGTCCGGAGACGAAAAAAAAGGTATATATATATATATATGCGTGCATAAAGGGCGCACATTAGGCCTAAAAGACTCAAAGTTTAACACAAAGATGCCCATGAGAATTCGGGAAGAACCGGGGACAGAAAAATATTCGGAATAAGGTGACTCTTAAATTTAGTTAGATGGAAAACAGTGCCAGCCCAGTTCCGAGACGCACCATTATGCAAGAAATTAGAGGAAATTTTGAATTCCTAAAATCAGATGAAGTTCGCCCTGTACAGAAGCGATAAAACATGAACCGTGTTCATATTCATCGTCGAAGAAATACTAGACGATGAAAATGACAAAAAAAGATGAAGTTAAACTTAAAAACAAATTTTGGCAGACATTAATCCCAAGTGTAGAGAGACAGACTAGAGAATAATAAAAATAGAAAGGAAGTAAGGTTATATGGGACAAATCGACGCCGCATGCAAGTTAAAATCCGTCTCGAATTTTTTAAAGAAGATTTCTTTAGTAAATCACTATCAGAAGTAAGGGCAAATAAAGATAAAAAATTAAAGAATACAGTTGGCTACATAATTAACTAATAAATAATACATTTTACAATTTTGAAAGGTATTTAGGGATAATATAAAAGAATCAGACTATATCAGGGTGGAAGGAATCGAATAAAGGATATCCGCAGCATAGAGAAATGCAAGAGAAAATAAACCAGAGTAAATTGAGCATCTGGAGAGAGTTTCGAAAAGAAGTAAAGCATTTATAAATGATTGAAACCTATTCAAAGGCATAAAAATCCTATACATGGTTGTGGGCGAAACGCAAAGCAGCATATTAGAAGTGACAGATAGTCGGAACAATACAGATAGTTGGCTAAATGATATAAATGATTCCATAAATAAGTATGCATATAAAAAAACAGGGCAAATGCTACTAATATGGGTCAACGAATATAACAATGAATGTATATGCATTTATCGGTGATATCTAGATACGGCGTTAAGTCCGAAAAAAAGATATTAAGACAGGGTATACGATAAATGGATGATCAAAGTTGTGTCTAGATAGAGCATAAACACAAAAGTAGTAAGCAAAGAGACAAAAATGAGATAAGGTAATGCATAAATAAAGTAAGGTAAAAACAATTTTAAGGAGAATATAATCAAGAGGGATATGTCGGAATATCGTCACCAGAAGGAACAATCTCGACTCCACTTTGGCCATTGGCAGTCGAGATACCAGAATGCATAGAATTTGGGTGCCCAATGGAGGCTAGATTGGAAGATCCAGGTGAGGCTGAAAGTTGATCCGCAAGCAACGAGGCGGGTGACGAAGATGTCACAGTAGATATTATTGAAGAGATTGGTTGCAAAATCAAGTCGTCTGGCTTACCAGACTCTAGAAGAGGGACGACTGCATCAAAGAAGGCAGGAGACGGCAAGGTATAATGTCCAGTAGTCAGGGGGCATCGTGCAGCAAAGCTTGTCGATGAAGCGGTTGTAGTAATAACGAGTGTGTCCTTTGAAGAAGAGGAATTACGGCACCCAGAAAGAGAAGAGCAAGCGAATGATGAGGAGGAAGTTGTAGTTAAAAGTCTAGCAACCGAATCAAGTGGCAGGGCTGGCTGTCGCATGTCGAGAAACGATGAATCAGAATGACTGCAGAATGAAGCAGGACTCGTAGTCGACAGAGAAACATCAATTCCAGAATTCGGACCTCTTAAAGATCTGTGAGAGGTTGTAACTGCACCACGGCCATCGCAGCCGTGTCCAGTAGAGCCGGTGCCAAAGTCAGCCACGGCACCGCCGATCATACTTTCAACATGAAAACAGGCCCCGGAAGGCTCGACGCGTTCGAAAGAGCCACATAAACGAACATCTGAGTAAATGAAACAGTGTATAAACCATATATATGAACATAGGAGGAAGACCAAAATGGTGGGGCCTTTCGTTTAGTCACAGTCTCCTGTAGCTGTATAATGATCGTTTGATCTCGTTTTCGCAACTTGATAGGGACAACAGGGAGATCTTGTGGAATATACCTAGTCCGTATATATAAAGACCAAGTCTTAGGTTTGGTCGTTAGCTTATTAAGCTGTAATGAGATGGTATAGGCGAGACAATGTGAGACATTGTCTACAAAAGTACTCATGATAATTTTAAGCATCAGACAGCTGGCCGGTTACATTTCCAGATGTATATCGGCACTATGAGAGGCATCGAGATGCATCAGCTTACGCATCGATTTACGGCCAGGCTCAGAGTGCTTTATGCTCCTGGTTCAAACTCATTTCCTACGGCCAAGTCTCCAACCTAAGACCTTCAGTGTCTTCGTTTGTTCCTAATTTTCTGTGTGTAGATCTTCAAGCAGGAATAGGGAGGCATAATCACCTTCATTACAGGTCTCGCATTTCCTCTGTAGGGCTTCTTGCTCCAAATTGGTTTTCAATCGAAAAGTCATTTCTCCAAACTTCTGCAAGCTGTTTTCTCGTACGAATGGCTCGCTATAATCCATCAACCCCAGCCAGCATATACGTCCTACGCGAAAATTTAGCTCCATCACCGGCCACGAACGTTTGATGGGATGTGCAGACTAGCTCTGTCTGAAATGTCTCACCAAAAACATGATTTCCACGTGAGAATGTCGAAAAGAAGGCGACTCAATTTGTCTGCTCAATGATGTTCTAATTTCACTCAAATTCACCCAAAATAT